CGATTAATAACGTTAAATCGATTTTTATGATTAAAATAATCGATTATTATTATTTTTAAATATACTGACTATCTGAACAAATTTTTAATCGATTATTAGGAAGGAAATAATCGATTTTCGGCCACTGTTCATCATCTTCTTCCTCTGTTCAATTTTTAACATTATCATTTTTAATTACCAAACTTCAATTAAATTATATAGGAATGTTCCCCAATGTTCACAGATCATTTTAGAGTCATTAATTTGTAGTTTTAACAACAATTTCTTGGTTTATGATTCTTGGTTCTTCAAACATGTCAAACATAAAACTCAACCAAACGACCGTTTATGAACGTAAAAACGATCTATACGAACATTCTAATCACTAGATATATCTACGGGCTTACCTCGAAGGTAAATGAAGGTTTTGAATATTTTCCGGTGAAACTTCCGGCGAACACCACGTCTTGTTCCGGCGACCTCTCACCAAATTGACAGCACCACTGCGTTCTCCACACTCAAGGCTATCTCTCAGAATGAATTTGATGAAGAATTGTGAAGAAATGGTGAAGTTGGGTTTCTTATATAGTAAAAGAATGGAGGAAGAGGCCAAGGTGATGATATATCCGTTCCTGTTTCGGCGTCTCAGTGGAGGGGGCTGCGATATTTCTTCGATTCCAAATGCAAGTCCCTGATTGGGACTAATTTGGTCCCAGTCGGGGAACACTTTTTGGTCCAACTTTCTCCGAATTGAAATCCGATTGCACCGTTGCGATCAGACAGTTAAACTCTATCTAACGATATAATTTTTATATTTATTCATTATACTTTTTCCAACATCATATTTTTGGGTGGTTGACTTTGACAGAGTCAAAATTGGTTTAATTGACCTTTATTCAAAAAGGTTCTCACATTTAATTCATATTATTTATTTCCATGATTTATTTCAATATATCATTTCAAAGTTCACATTATAAACAATTTCTTCATTTATTCTTAATTTGGGTCTGTACTCAGATTCCCAATCAAGATCACACAATAAATCAACATGTTGGATTTATCTCTATGAGATTTATCCCAATTATGTTTATTGGATATCAATATATATTTTATTTCAGCCCAAAGCCCAACAACAATTTATTTTAGTCAAAACAAATTTTGTTTAATTGAATATTTAATTCAATAAATTTTAGGGTATATTTTGGGGCGTTACAATCCAAGCTGTATCTTATGTTGAAGGACTCAATTATAACCTTCTTAGCATAAGTCAGTTTTGTGATAAAGGTTACTCCTTGGAATTCTGCAAGGACATGGCATCTCTCAAGAACATCTCCACAAATGAAGTTATTCTCACTGGGAAAAGAATCAGAAACATCTAGGAAGTGATATGGAACGATGTCAATGAAGCATGTCTAATCAGCAAAGGTGACACTAACCTTCTATGGCTTTGGCATAAGAGGTTGAGTCATCTCAACTTCAAAACTCTCAAAAAGCTATCCAAAGAAGGGTTAGTAGAAGGCCTTCCCAAAGCTGTATTCAGGAAGGAAAGCATTTGTGATGCGTGCCAGAGAGGAAAGCAAGTCAAATCTACTTTCAAGGCAAAACCAGCACCCTCAACTACAAGGATATTAAGTCTTATCCACATGGACCTATTTGGCCCTGTTACACCAATAAGTATAAGTGGAAAGAAATATGTCCTGGTGGTAGTTGATGATTACTCAAGATACACATGAACAATCTTCCTCAACAGCAAGAAGGAGACTCAAGGGAAACTCACCAACTGCATGAAGCTGATTCAAAACAAAGCAAGTCAGACCATTCAGAAGATCAGATCTGACAAAGGCATAGAACTCCTGAATGAAATCATCATTCATTATTGTGAAGAAAACGGAATTCTTCATCAGACATCCGCAGCAAGGACGCCTCAACAGAATGGTGTAGCGGAAAGAAGGAACAGAACCCTAAAGGAAGCAGTGAGAACAATGCTAGCAGAAGCTTCCTTACCAAAGAGGTTCTGGGCTGAAGCTGTTAACACGGTTTGCTATACTCAAAATAGGAGTATGATTTATAAAAGGCACAACAAAACTCCCTATGAACTATGGAACGGGAGAAAGCCTAATATATCATATTTCCATATTTTTGGGAGCAAGCGCTTTGTGTTGAACAACAGGAAGAATCATCTGAACACTTTTGATGAGAAATCAGATGAAGCCATCTTCCTTGGATACTCTATGGTGAGCAAGGCATTTAGAGTTTTCAACAAAAGAACAATGATCACGGAAGAGTCAATACATGTAATTTTTGATGAAAAACATGTGGTTGACAAGCCATCAAAGCATGATCATGAGATTCTGGATCTATTTGACAAGGATGAAGAAGTCAATGAAGGAGATAGAATGAAGCCTACGGAATTCATTCCATTCAGAAGTCTACCACTGAAGACTTCACAGAGAAATCCGGATTCAAACAGTGCTGAGCCTACCGGAAATCTTGGCCAGCCTTCCAATATTCCGGATCACTCAAACGGCGACAATTCCGGAAATGGCGACCCAGTGCCAATCCACTCGGAAACACCTACTTCTGTTTTTCAACCAGAAGCTGAACTAGATCAACTAGTCAATCCTAATCAACACAATCTTCGTTGGTTAAGGAATCATCCTCCTCAAAATATTATCATAGATATAAAATCTGGTGTTCGCACAAGGAGTGCCCAACAGAATCTAGAAGCTATGCTTGCTTGTTTCATCTCACAAGTAGAACCAAAGAATATTGAAGAAGCTCTAGCTGATTCTGATTGGATCAATGCAATGCAAAAAGAACTCAACCAGTTTTTCAGAAATGATGTCTGGAAACTTGTTCCCAGACCTACTCAACAACATGTCATTGGGACAAAGTGGGTCTTCCGGAACAAGATGGATGAAAACAGCGTTGTTGTCAGAAACAAGGCCCAGTTAGTTGCAAAAGGATATTGTCAAGAAGAAGGTATAGATATTGATGAAACCTTCGCTCCAGTTGCTAGACTTGAAGCTATAAGGCTGTTTCTAGCCTTTGCTGCTCATAAGGACTTCAAGGTCTATCAAATGGACGTCAAAAGCGCATTTCTCAACAGAAACCTAGAGGAAGAAGTGTATGTGGAACAACCTCCAGGA